GCCACATACCGCCCCATCTCCCCACCAGTTTCTGTCTGCCTTTTCCACCAATCAAACCTGAGGTGCCCTAACACCCAAACAGTTTCCATTTAAGCATGTACAAAGGGGTAGACAGAGAAAGCACCCTTCTCCAATTGTCACCTATGGGATTCAAAAGCCTGACACAGGGTATGGGAACTATGGCTAAAACCTAGTGAGGATTTTTAAGGAGGTTTAGACAGAAACATGGAGAATAACATTTGAATTCAAATCTTTAAAAAAAATGCTATTGGAGGAAAATAAAGTCTTAGCCAGTGTTCTGAAAATGCCTGTATGGAGTTGGGAATGACTATCTAGGCAAAAGGTCTAAGAACTCTGGACACAATGGGAGACTCAGCTGATATAGTTTGGGTCTGCTGAGCCAGATGTCCTGAGGGCTCCCAGCAAGTAGCCTGTCTGGCTCACTGCAGCTGTCTGGCACAGTCTGCAGTGAGAGTCCTGCAGTTCCATCACAAAGTACTTTCTAAGGTGTTATAGTTATCCTTAAAGCTCTTCAACTCAAGGAAGTGTTTAGCACGTTTACTCTTCTGACTGGAGGGGAGGTATGTCACCTGGATGGTTGTTGGGGAGACTTCAGGGGACTGAGTTAGGTCTTTGGCTGCTGATTGGTGTTGTTGCTGAGAGCTCCCAATTCGTGCTTTGACCACAGTGGCCAGCTCACTCAGGGCCTCCTGATAGCGCAGGTATTCATTCTGACCAAAGACCCCTGTCCCATAGCAGGCTGTTTCATAGCCATCTAGCAGGGTATCAACGAGGGCTTTGCACACACACTTGAAGGGAGTACTAGTGTTTTGCAGATCTAGCAGGTAGGAGTGGAAGTTCTTGCCCATTAAGGAGCAAGGATGCCGGCCGTCAGCATGAAATGGGATCTCAGAGGCACGAATGGCATCCAGAGCTTTCATCCTGTATACATAGTTGTAGCAATTTTGATTTCCCTGGGTCTTCAGTTGCAGCAGCCTAGCATCATCACTTCCAAGGAGTTGGGGTTCATACTTGATATCCTGAACCCTGGACAGTCGAATATCAATCTCCTCTTTCAAGTCCCCACTGCCCTGCCTCCTCAGCCCAGGCTCCGCAGAAGCAACGGCACCTGGGTTTCCTGGAGCTCCCGGGCCATTTCCCTAGGGGGGAAGACTAAGACAGACCCCACCTGAAAACATGGCGCACGGGAGCTAATAAAGGACAACACTCTCAACTTTCAATCGTCCTGTCCAACAATCTTGGAATTATCTGTGACTCCTCTCTTTTTTCTTACAAACCTCATCCCATGTCAGGAAATCTTGTCCCTACCTTAAAAATGTAATCAGATTGCTTCAAAATAATCCATTGTGTATTGGGGTAGAGAGAAGGAGAGGGAAGAAGGCATTTAACTGAAACAGGATTGCTCTTGTTCTGGTAACTGTTGATGCTCATTATGTTATACTGTCATCTCTACCTGGTGCATGTCTGAAATTTTCCATAATACAATGTTTTTAATTGCATTTACCATTGAACCCACCAATCGCATTCCTTTGGACTCGGTCCCATATTAGTA